TTTTACATAATTTTTAGATTAAAATGTTCTCATCGTTTTAAAAATAATTACTTTTTGATTGACATTTTATTATAATTGTTTAAAATAGTAGTTAATAACAACAATTCAAATCATAGAAACTTTATTTCAGTTATAAAAATCAATTGGTATTTAAAAATTTACATTGAAATGTCTAAAAATTAAAAACATTAATATTAAGCATAATCTGAAAAATATCTCATAAAAAACAATTATTTAGATTTATTATGAGTTTCGTGTATTTTTTATTGACTTATTTATGAACTCTCAGACATTTTTTATTTATAATTTTGAATTTTATTTTGACTCTACAAATGATATAAAAGCATTTTAATAGCATTTATATATATATATATATATATTAAATATCCATGGTCATTGTAATTTAAAATAGACTAAAGATTTAGAAATCGACATTGAAAAAAATAATATTTTAATTAATATTAACTTATTATCAAATAGATTAGTATTTTCTATTATAAATTTTTATAAATATTTAAGAAAAAATATTTAGATTTAAATTAGTATTGTTATAAAATACTGTATTAAAAATTAATAGTAATTCTAATCTATTTTTTTTTGTTTGTTTGTTTGATAATAGTCTATATAAACTATATTCAAGTTATTTGAATTGACTGAAAACTTCTTTTAATAATGATTCAAACATTTTAATTGCTAATAAATATAAAATATGATCCAATTATTAGTTATTATAAATAATTACAAGAGATTTTTTTTTATTTAGTATATACTATACCATCAAAAATTATTTGGTTTATTATATATTAAATGCATTTTTTCTAAAACATTGTATTCAATGGCTACTATTTTATATTTAGACAGTTTTATTATTATACAATCATCTATAGTATACATTAATGTTACAGTATATCATAAACTTGTAGTATGTTATGTTAAATATCGTGACTTAAATCAATTTATTTAATTATTACATTTAAAACATTTTTTAAGAGTTATTTTGTGTAAATTATTTACATGAAGTGGCAATTTTGTTGGCCATTAAAAAAACAGAGTTTATTATTATAATAGATATATTAATATGCACAAGCACAAATTTTAATATGCATTTAAATGAAGGTCGTGTTATGCATTCAATAGAGTACAGGTATAATATAGATTTTTTTGTATATATTATATATATATAAGATTATATACTGCATATATAGCATATTATTTAATAAAAAAAATGCAATTTTTACCCAAAAAAAATTAAATTAAATAAAATTTAAATATATAATTAGTAACACTCACTCATTCAATTCGCTAATGTATTGAATGTAATTATTTGTATTAATAACTAAACTATAGTTTATAAAAAAAAATCATATATACTTTATACTGTTTATTAAAAGCCAGTGATATAGCTTGAAGGCATAAGTGAAAAGTCTATTTATATTTAAATTATGTTTAATAGAGAAGCAAAATAATGTTTTTAATGAAAATTAATACCAACACTATATTAGATTTATTAACATTTTTTCGTTGTTCAACAGAAAACACATTAATGCAGTGATTATTATTATTCCTGTTATACGTTACGGTAGTGTATTAGATAGTTAAACATTTTTGTCTATTAATATGTAATGCAAAAAAAATGAGACCTAAAATATCTGGGCCTCTACTCTGAGTTCATTATAAATGGTATTAGGGATCTCTCTCTCTCTCTCTCTCTCTCTCTCTCTCTTAAACACACACACACACACACACATATATATATATATATATATATATACTTATTTCTATTGAGACTTATAATTGCCAATTAAAAGACACATAATATGAGATTTATCTAAAAAAAATTATACATAAAATATTTTTTTTCTGCAAACTTTTACCTTTCGCAATGTAACCTTAAAAATATAAACTTGATATATATGGATAATTAAATTTGCTTTTTTAATCTGCTTTTTCAATAACTATTTTCCCATAAAAATGACACTGTTGTGCACTTGTTGTGTTTATGTATGTTTATGTGTGTAGCATAAAGGTGGCAACAAAATTAAGCAGAAAAAATTTATAAAATGTACGGTACGTATATTTATATTGTATAATAAAATTGAGCATGGTACATTTATGAAACATTTTTTTGTTAAAAAAATACACACATATTGATAGAAACATTGAGAAAATCCGTGATTTTTAATCGCAATGTTTTATTATTTGTGACTATTTATTGCCTCACGAATGCACTTTCATAGCGTGTAATGTATGTATAAAAAAGGTAAATATATTTTGTATGCACTTCCAAATGGTTTTGCAAATATACAGTATATATAATATAATATATAACTAATATATATTTATATATTAAATTTTAATACATTAAATGAATTTTTTCTCTCTTATACATACAGCGCGCTGTTTTAGCCCTCTTTTTGCAGTATATATTAAAAAGTAAAATATTTCTGGCTTTTTGTGAGTCTTTAAAAAAATAAAGTAATTTTAATGCACAACCAAATAATCGCTGCATATTTATCAAAACTCAAGGTCTGGCCTCTGATCTCTGGCTCAGTCCCACCGACCGGTGCTATCGTTATTTAAATGCACACATAGTTTACTCTCCGTCTGCACTGTTTAACAGAGAGAGAGAGAGAGAGAGAGAGAGAGAGAGAAGTAAACTCTATTAAAATATATACACAGTATATGTGCTTTGCATTTGATGTTTAAAATGTAAATGTTTTTTATTATACAAATATAATATATAATATATATATATATAAATACAACTTATATTTAAATGCTTTTAATAGTGTGGCTGCTATTGAGGCTGTTCTTTGACTGCCTTTTTTTGGGGGGAGTTTCTCGCTATGCAATTGCATTGAAATTTATTTAACAAAAAGATTTGAATAAGAAAAACATACAATTAATTGACTTTTACAGAGAGTGAAGTGTAATGTTAATGATGTTATGTTTGGGTAAAAGATCTAAAACAGACAAACACATAGTGTATATACTTTATGAGCAACAGGTATATAGTATATACACTATATTAAAGTTGTTGTATGTATTTATATACCTTATATATATATATACAGTATATATACTGTAATAGCAAGGAGTGGGACGTCCACTTTAGCGAACGGCACGAACCATAGGCTTATGTTTAGAGAGAACACCCGCTTTCCAAGTCTGATCTCATCGCCATCCCTGTCCTTAACACACACTCACTCACTAATATACTCTCTCGTTTCAAGTAAATGAGTCTTACGTTATTTTTTTCATCATAAAAAAAATAATAAGAAAAACATTGAGAAATACAGTAATATTTATATTTACATTCGTATTCATAAAAGTTTTGTTTTTTATTTTGTTGTTGTTTTTGAATAATTAAGATTTTTTGTTGTTGTTGTAGTATTTGTGAACTATATTGACTACTATACAAATTTTTGTTTATATATTATAAATAACTTTTATTCTTATTTATAATATTTGTGTTTAACAATAATCACCATTAAAACATATTATTTAATAAAAACTAACTGCTAATAATATTTATGTGAATTGTAATATTAATGAACGGATAATATGTGTGCAAAAACATTGTGTGTTAACTCTCTGGTAAAACACAACATTTGGGATATAAAACATTGATATATATATATATGCTGTACATTGAATAACACATTTGATGCCATTTATTGTGATGTAAGAAAACATTTGTTACCTTAATTTTGATGTACTTTTTTCTATTGCTATAATTTACTGTATATTTACATCTAATGCCTGTTTCCTAGAATTGGAAGCTTATCCTTAAAAAAATAATATATATTTATATTTAAGTCATATATCTATATATATACTGTATATACGGTATCTAATATACCTGTGATTTGATATTTATAGACCTTCTTTACATAAGTAGAGTCCATACAAATGTTGTTTATGTATGGCCTGGGGATCAAAATTAATTGGACGGGTTTTTGGGTATATTTATTTGCTAAAAAACAGATATATATATATATATAAACATAAAAATACTACTCTATATTTGGTGGTTACGTATGGCTGTTTGTTTCACAGCAAAAACAAAATAAAATATAAAATTTTTTAAAACATAATTAAATCATTTGTTATAAACGCCAACCGTTTATTTTTTAGATACCTCACTGGTATTGCACTCAATAGCTGTTTGTTTTTATCAAATTTCTGTTTTTTTGTTGTTGGTTAAGCCATACCTGTGATAATACAGTAATTATATCGTATTTTATCTAATTATTATTTATGTTAGTAACTTGTTTATATTTTTTGTTTTTTATACATTATTTATTTTATTTTTGTTAAGTAAAACATTATCTATTAATTTGCAACTTTAACTGTAATACGATTTTTATTTTTATTTGCGGTTCTTTCGCTTAAAGTTTTGGTTTAAAAAAACATTTGTATTAATAAATTGATATTTAAATTTATGATCAAAAATTTACAAACAATTTAATTGAATTATATGCTATATCTATAAAAATTTAGTTGCTTGCATAAACGTATTTATTATTTATATTTAATATACAAGCATTTACATAAATAAAATAAACATAGAAATTATCAAACATTACTTTAATTATCACAATTTACTTTATTATTATTATTATTAGTAGTAGTAGTAGTAGTAATATTCCTGGCATTGAATTGTTTTTTAAATATTACAATAATATGATAATTTTATCTAACTTTAATTATCAAATCAAATATTAAAATTACAGTATATTTCCATTGGAAAATAATTACAATATTCGAGAAAATAATATTTATATACAGTATATAATTTATATATTAGTATTGTATAGTATTATATTGGTGTGTCAAAAAGTTTAATTTATAATTTATTAATATAATAATACTAATTATTTTTATTATTTTTACTATCAAAATAATTAATTAAATTTTGACATATAATGCATTGTAATAAATATAAATTAAAAATACTAATTTATTTATTTGGTTATCTATTTATTTTTTCATCAAAGGGTACAATCGTTAAGTAATTGGTAGTCGTTTTTATTATATATATATGTGTACTACACGTGCTATTTGTCGACAACAAGTCCTACTCAATCATCACAACAATTATTGTGCGACCAATTACTTCAAACATATTCATCATTAATATCAAAAACAAAACAGTATTTATCATCACAACTATATTAAAGGTAAATATTATTATTTTTAAAAAATTTTCTTTAATATTTTTACTAATAATAATAACATTAAATAAGATACTTTATAAATATAATAGTTAGCGAAAGTATAATCGAAAACATTATTTTTTTAGTGAGTTTTTAATTAATTATTAGAAAATCACATTAAATTTAATGCAATGATAATTGTGAAAATTTTCTAATAAAGTGTTGTCAATGAAAAATAAAATATAATAAAATTTTAAGGGACTGGTCTTTCTTTTTTTCAATGATATGATGAACCTCTAGGTTAGGTCATAGCATATATAATGTAAATTAATTGATTTATGCCATAAGATTATTATAATATTCACTGATGTGACACATATGTTATGTTATATTTATATTCAATGCTTGGCATCAAATAAACGACATTTCTCTGTCACTAAAAATAAGATCAAAATGATTAGCTATGAATAAGTAATGTATATATTATTATGATTATTACGAAAATACGATTGCCTCAAAAAAAGTTAAAATAAAATAAATAGCTATTCAATTGAAATATCTATAATAAAAAACTTTTTTTTTTATATTTTTGTCTCATATTTTCTTAAGTGGGCCTCTCTTTTCGGTATTTATTTATGTTTTGTAGGAATTTTATATTCAGTGGTGTTTTGGGACAAAAATGGCATAAATTGTGAATAAAAAAGTATCTATTAAAAAGGACATTAAATTTTTATATTTTTATACATAAACTTTAAGATAACAGGAGGGCCTCACTTAGTATACAGTTGTGTCCATGCATTTATGTATGCAATATTTAAAATTGATACTTATATATATTAGTTAGTCTTTTTAGAGTTTTGAAAATATCATATATATATATAGATATTAGACACATAAATACTTATATATATATTCAGTATATATATACTAAATAAATGTCAAACATATTATGCATTCAACACATGAATTGCTAAGCATTTTGTTTGTGTGAATTTTTTTGTCACAAAAAAATAACTTTTACTCTTCAAATTATGTGGACATTTAGCTGATTAGTTAATTAAATTCAATTCAACTACAAAATTGTAAAATCACTGCCTTTTCACATATTTATATCACAGCAAAAAAATCTGTATAACAATTATATTTAAATGACATTTTTTTAGTTCAGTATATTCTGTATTATACTCTACTGTATATTATATAAGTTAGCTTTTAATATCAAATATTTTTTTTGTTTTCCGTTTTACATAACATTTATCTTTATAATAGGTTAATATATTATATACAATTTATATACTGTATATATATATATATAATGTAAATATATTATATCTGATCTACAGAATTATTCTTTGTTGTTGAAAGTAATCATAAAAATTCATTCATAATATACTTTATATATATAATAATAATCATAATAATATTTTAGATTGAATAAATAATATGTCGATAAAAGATATGACTGCAATTATAATATTTATAGTTTTGATAATAATTTGTCAATAAATTTAATGTGCCGGTGATTATGAAAGTAATGGACCTAATAGTGATACCGGTGTTGAGCTAACCCACGAATACTAAATAGTTTTTCTTTGTTTTACGTGTTTTTATCTTATTTTTTCTCGTATTTTATTTATATTTTTATTTCAATTAAGCTTTTTTCGTAGTCGTACAGTATGTTTGCAAATAATAATATTAAATGCACATTATTTTATCTTTGAAAATGTGTTAAACATTTATTTATTTTTTGTTGAGTTTAATTTTTTTTTTATTATAAAAAATAAAACATTAACAAATCAGGCCTTATATATTTTTATTATGTTAATATAAAAAATTGAAAAATGCTATTTATTTGCTCAACCAAAATATTATTGCAATTTATATATATATTTTTACGATTATAAATATTTTTTAAAAATGTAATGATATAAATATATATTATATAAACACCTATTGAAAAATAAAACATAAAAATTTATGGATTTTTTTTGTTAGGAAAATAAAAAAAAGATTAAATACAAAGATATATGAATATTGTAATAAGTATTTCAATGTGTTTTTTTAACTTCAAACATACAGTATTATTGATATACTACTATATTATTAGTGATTATGTATAGTTGAATACAACTTAAAATATTTATATTAGACATAATCTAAAAATAAATAAAAAATAAGTATTAGATTTGTTTTTTTATGATCAAAATTTATTTTTTTATTATATCCTTACTAATATATTATATAATATGTAATATTTTATAGTAAAATTTACAATAAAATTTCATAAGTTATATTTTGGTTAATACACGTAGCATTAAATGATTGAAAAAACCAGTTGAATATATTAGAAACACTAAAAAACTTCATTATTTAGATCATTAGTTAAAACACTAGTATTAGAAAAAAGTGCGAAAATTTGATAATTTTATGCCAAATACATTAATTATAAACAAAGTTTGTATTTTATATTTTAATGGCAAATAAAATTTATAATTTTTGCGAAGTGATAAATATCACGATTGGATTTATAGTGACAAATATTGCAGATATATATATATATGAATAGATAATTGTTTTGAGGGCCAAAAATCCAATGTTATATTCAAGTATGTTAAATAATATGTTTATATTAATTTACAAAAATTTGTTTATTTCTGTAATATTATATTTGTGTGTTAAGGAAAAAAACGTTTGACCCGTAATGTCATTGAGATTTAGGACTATTCACAAGTTGTCTAAAGTTTTTATCTGTGTATATACTGTAGTCTCAAAAAAAGTAATAAATCATTTGGACACCAAAACAAAACTCATCTAGTTAAAACAATGAGCTCTCTATTATTGTATTATATATAATTATATCTATTATTTTTGTTTTTTTTTTGTAAAAAAAATAAATTATTTGTATTTTTTATTAAATAGATAAAAACATGTTAAGAAATATATAATTTTGTTTACATTATTTTTTAGTGCTAGTATTGTACTTATTGTAGTTATTATTAGTATTATAAGTAATTTAAATTTAAAATACTTGTATTAGTTTTGTGTAAAAAAGCAAACTGTGTTAAAACAAAAAAAACAGTACAAATACTCAGTAGATTTGTCTATAATTTCAGAAAATCATTGCAATTACTTAAACAGTAATTTTTAGACATTTCTATATCCCTTTTGTTTCTCCAAAAAAAAACATTGATATAATTAAAGGTTTTGTTTTACTGTTTTTTTCTTTCTGTGAACTAAATGGCATTTTTTCCTCCCAAGAGGTTAAACATTGGCTTAATGTTTAAAACACGACCTTTTCATTGGCATAGGTTTATAGACATAAATGAATAAACAACTAATTAGACGATAATTATAATTAAATATAATTGTATAATGAGATAGAGTAAAACAGTAACATTTTCATTAAATAACTATTATTATTAAAGATTTGTCTAAATTAAAAAAAAATTATATTAAAACTTAATTACTATGTGCAATTAATTTTGCTTAATAATAATTTGAATAATTAAATTCAATATAAAATTTGATAATAATTTTTAATTAAAACTGCATAATTTTTTTTAGAATCTAAATTATATAAAATAAGTAAAAACTTTTTATACAAAAATAGTAAATTATTGTAAATCTAGTTTTTCTATTGAATGTCTAATTAGATTTATAGCCTACGACTAGTCATGTTTTATAAAGTATTTTATTATTTTTTTGTAAGTAATTTATTGTTACCTCAAATGATTTGTGCACTTTTTAAACAACTAATTAACTCAAATATTGCATAGATCTAAAAAAACTATACAAATCTTTTAGAGTTATTTTTATATTATTTATATCATTGATATCTATATATTAGTATTAGTGTTGTAAAAACAAGATCTTGACTATTGGTTCATACAATACATGTCAAACATACCGTACATTTCATTTATTAATTATTTATTTTAAATTGAAGGATCTATTGAATAAAATTATTTAATTAAAATAACATTATATTAGGTTTTACTAAATATTTAACTAATTAGTCTATTTTTTAAATGAATACTAGTTATAATTATATTTGTATAAAATATTATATGATATATGTTAATTAAATACTAAATTAAACTATTAATATAATTTCTTTATATAGATTTAATAGTAGATTTAATGTCTATTAGCTCAATATAATATTTGTTATCGATATTTAATGATAGTTTAAAATTATGCAAAATGCATTAAAAATTTTATTATGTTAATTAAATTATGTTAATGAATTTGCTTTTTAAAACATTAAAATTTAGTATTTATAAAAATTTAAATTTCTAAAAGATTTATTAATACTTCATTAAATTAATATTCATAGAAATTTATTTCCTATTTATTCATTGAAGCAATAAAATAGAATATTAATTATATTATAATACCTGTATATTGATATAAATATTTAATTATTTATGAAAATATACGGTATATAAAGTAATAATATAATATTTATAATATTATAAATGACATAAAAATAAATTTTAGTATTATTGAAAATAACATTAAAATATTTTTAATTAAAAATTAATAAGATATAATTATAATTATATTCAAAATAATATGCAATATATTAATTATTAATATGTTTATTTCAATATATTTGACGCAAATTAATTAATTTTACAAAATATAGTGTATTAGTTATTATCAAATATATCGATGATATACACTTAATATATCATAATTAGAGACAAAAAAAATACCATATAATTGTTGAAAGAAAATGATATAATAAAATGTTTGACACACAATAATATCCGATTTATTATAACCATATAAACACTACTTTTACAGCAAACAACCAAAAAATATATATATAACTAAAGATTTAATATGTGTTAACAGTTAAGTCAAAGTCAATGTCTAATTGAGTTCAATCACACAATTTATGTGTCAGTGCTCTCTCTCTCTCTTTCTCTCTTTCAGTGGTTAATGTGTGGCTTGACTTTCATTAGTTGGTCACTTCATCTGCCAATTGATCCCTTTTCGACAATTAGTTGTTGACTCAA